TAGCCTTGACATGCAGAGGCGGATTCAGGATTTAAATCATATGGGTTTAACTTTTTAGGTTTTTAGCATTGAACACATTATATTTTTAAAGTTGTGGGTTAATATCCATTATTTTTGCAATTTTAATAAATTTTTATACCGCGTTAAAAATTATGGGCTCAATTGAACCCGTTAGTTGTTCACTACATCCGCCTCTGTTGACACAGGTGCAATCAAGGCTAAAGTAGCAAATATTAAAGGTCCCTCCATGCGAAAATACGTTGAGTAAAAGTTATTTTTTTCAATTATGCGAGATAGCACGTATCTAGTGAAATAGTTAAGATGCGCACTAGCTATTCCGGATACCACTGTTAAAACAAATATACTCTTAAGATCATTGGAAATCTACTAAAATTACAATTCACCAATACCTGTACAATTGTAGTTTGTCTAATTCCTGTATTATTCAGTGAAAAATTTTATTTCGTGCCTCACACAACTAAGACTAATTGTTTGAGGCTTCTTTTTTGTCTCACAACTGTGTGGTCCCGGAATTTTTGTGTACAAATGTGTAAGATATGAGTCTACAAATATATGAGATAAAAAGAGGCCTCCCACAACTAGTGAAGTTGTGTGAGGCACAAAATAAAATCATTCCTATTCAGTAGCAAATTTTGGTACAATCACAACTACACCGTCACATATAAATTTAAATATCAAACTAATAGTCTGTTTGGCCAAGCTTCTCGGATATCAAAAGTACTCCCCCCCCCCAAAGCACTTTTTAAAATAAATTAAGTTGTTTGGCCAAGACGGAGAAGTACTTTTGGTCAGTAGTAGAAGCAGTTTTTCTGCTTTTGGGAAGAAGCAGAAAATTCTAACTTCCCGCAAGAAGCAGAAACATAAGCAGAAAATTAATTTATTCAAGACAACTATCCTCACCATAAAATTTATATTTTCCAAATGATCTCTTACTGATTAAAGCTTTTTTTTTTTTATTTCTAGTTTCTACCATTCTTTTAAAATAGAGATATCATATATATGAATATATTTAAATTCTTTTTTGAATTTTTTTGTTTTTGATTTTTTCTTTGTGTAATGTCTCGTAACTTTCAAAATTATCTTCTTTCTTTCACACTAAAACAAATTATTTACATCCTTCTTTGGATTATCAATTCTCTTCTTGCAAATAATCATTTATAATTTCCTCTGTTACAGGCTATTAATTCCCGAATCTTTAAAACAGTTATCAAATCTAATTTGTGAAAATTACCTATAAATAGGTAATACTTTATGCCAATTTAGTAGGAAATATGTCCATTCAGAAGAAATTTGTAGGAAAAAGAATCCTCCTCCTAAACCAATACAGAAGGAGACTGAGAAGCAGGGACCTAAGGAATCCTAGAGTACAACAGATGAGCAAACTGATACAACAAGAAGAAAGCAACTAAGAATTGGTAAAGGCAAACAAAATAAGAGGCAGGCTATTGAGAGTAGTAACTCATTTCAGGTATTAAATAAGCAGAGAGAGGTGTTCACGGTTCGGTTTGGCCGGTTTTTGATTAAAGCCAAAACCAAACCAATTTAATCGGTTTTTAAAATTTTAAAACCAAAACCAAAACCAAACCAAATTACATACAAACTGTCGGTTTGGTTGTTGTTGGTTTGGTTCGGTTTTTCGGTTCCTAGTAAGCTAATGATAAGTCGATAATAGTAAAACAACACTAGACTACGATCTGAAAATAATTTGCTAAATTTATGTTTTTTTAAATATTTATTTCAGAACTGAAAGTTTATTTACCTGTTTATACGAAAAAAATGAACAAAAAACAAACTAAAAGTTTACTTTCTAAAGCTTTAGCTACTATAGTCTTGCAATTTGAGTTTGATTTCTTTACTCTTGTGGTAGATTTTTTTTTTCTAACTCTTTTATTAGAAAAAAATATGTGTGTAGGTTAGAGAATTAGATTCTCTTAAGGAAAAGAAAATCGGCCGATTCCTATTCTTTTGGACTTAGACAATCTTTTAAGATATAAGTAGGATAAACTAAAATTCAAAATAATAATTAAAATGTATAAAATATTTAAAATTATTTACGAAAAGATATTATACCATATATCAATAATTATTAATTTTTTATATAATTAATCGGCTCGGTCGCTTCGGTTTTTTATAATAGAACCAAAACCAAACCAAATTTTATCGTTTTTTAAAATTTAAACCAAAATCAATCCAAATCAAGAAAAATATCGGTTTGCTTAAACGGTTTGATTCGAGTTTCGGTTTGGATCGTTTTTCTGTCAAACCGTGAACAGCCCTATAATGGCTTGTTAGAAGCTAAAATAAAGAAAGATAGGGTGGATCAGATTGTAGGGAAGATGTTCAGTGGTTGGCCATATATCACCAACCTCGACTCTCACTGCAATAGAATTCTAGTAACATGAAGACCTGATTATTACAGAGTCACTCCACTACTTATTACTGCTCAAGTTGTATCCATCCAACAACCTGATTATTTATTTGGCCCATCCATGCCATTGTCGTTAGTCAATAATGACATGGATGGACCAAATATGTAACGGCAATGGCATGAAATGAGCATTTTTTTAACGGATGGCATGGATAGACCATTTCTGAAAGTTGAGTGGCATTTTTAGGTCTTTTCCGTTCTTGGAATGACAGACATAATGATCATAGAATCTATTCAAAAATTGACTGGGCATTCATAAACGGAGAGTGGCTAGATTCAATACCAAATTGTTGTGCCAAATATTTTCCTGGAGTAAGTGATCACTACCCTATCAAAATCATAAGAGGACCAATCTAGGAGAAAAAGATCCTTTAAAAGTTGTAATGTGTAGGCTCAACACCCTCATTTTCTAGATGTGATAAGGACAAGATGAGATGTGCAAGTGGAAGGATGTAAAATGCTACAGGAACCTCAGATTAAGTGTGACACAATTGAAAGATGTACAAGGTAATTGGTAATCTAATCCAGATACAATTGCACAAATGTTTGTAGATTATTATGAAGAGTTACTGGCATGGGCGAAGCTACATTCCCTTGAGGGTGGTCAATTGATCACCCTTCACCGAAAAATTACACCGTATATATAGGTAAAATATTAAGTTTTAGAGGTATATAACATATATTGAACACCCTTTGTCGAAATTTTTTTCCACTTAGTTCAAGTTTGAACAACCTTGAAGAAATTCCTGGCTTCGCCACTGCTTGCTGGGGCAGGAGGCTGAGTATAGAGTAGGGGATTTGAAGGAATTCCTAGCTATCTTATCAAGTGACTATCAAATGCAGCTGTTGAAGCCTTTTGAGAAAAAAAGAGGTTAAAAGAGCTATATTTCAGATAGAGAGCAACAAGAGCCCTGTGCCAGATGGCTATGGCAGTAGGTTCATTAAGGCTACTTGGTCAATCATATGTGAATATATATCTACAGCTTGTGAGTTCGAGTCTCCCCAAGAGCAAGGTGGGAAGTTCTTGGAGGGAAGGATGTCGAGGGTCTATTTGGAAACAGCCTCTCTACCCTGGGATAGGGGTAAGGTCTGCGTACACACTACCCTCCCCAGACCCCACTAAATTTAGGATTATACTGGATTGTTGTTGTTGTTTTTGTAGCCATATTGAATTACTTTCAGAATGGCAAACTACTGAAACAATTGATTTCCACTTGCATAGCTTTGATTCCAAAAATACCTGAGCCAGAAGTAGCTAGTCAATTCAGACCAATCTCATGTTGCATTGAACTTTACAAATGTATCTCCAAGATGATCTGTAGTAGACTAAAGGGTGCAGTGAATGAGCTTGTGGCAGACAACCAATCAACATTTATACTACGAAGATCAAGGCTCCATAATTTACTAATTTATCATGATATACTAAGGCACTACAATAGGAAAACTACTCCAAAATGCTTGATAAAAATTGATCCGAGGAAAGCATATGACATGGTTAGTTGGGATTTCCTGACCGAGGTACTGCATGGGCTATGTTTTCCACCTAAGTTCATCATGCTGATAATCAGGGGCGGCCCAAGGGTCAAGCCAATAAAGCAAAGGCTTTAGCCCCCCAAATTTGGAAGGCCCCAAGTTTTTCTTTTTGTTTTTTACTCGTATTTGTATTGAGCCCCCGACTAATCTAGATTCGTATCGCATAGGGCCTAGTAAAAGAGAGAACACGTTTTAACAGAATTTATTTCAACCACATGACTCGAACCCAATATAAGGTAAGTTGGATCATATACATCTCACAACAATCTTTAGAGGTAGGGATCTAAAGTTGAAGCTTACAAACAAAAACTTCAGCTCTAGAGCTGAACTTCAGGCCCGGCTACTAGAATGCTGAAGTTTTGCGTGATTGCCTTTGCTACTTCAGCCCTATATGCTGAAGTTATGCGAAAAAGCGGGTACGCTTGTAATTTTTTTTACAAAGCGAGCACAAGTTAAAGCGTGACACAAAAAGCGAGTATAGATGCAAATGCCCCAATGCAACCTCTTTAAATGAATATAACATCATCAACAAACATTTTCAGATTTGACGAGTCAGAAAAAATGGTCATCTACTAACAAGCAGACTGCAGCCTCATATCTTTTAAGTCCGAACCAATTGGCCAAAAAGGCGTTAAAATAACACATGCTAGCCAATTTTCGGATTGGTGATTGAATATAGCCAGCGTTTGCAAATCACTAAAAAAATAGCCACTATACCTCAACACGGAAAGTTCCAGCATAATATACTGGAGATTAGAGCACCTGTTTATGAACTTTCAATATATTATGCTGGAACTCCAGCACACGAAAAGTTCCGGAGATTGGAGCACCTGTGTATGAACTTCCAGCATATTATGTTGGAACACCGGTACATTATGAAATTCCAGCATGTTATGCGGGAAGTTCACGTGTAAAAATTCGAACTCCAACATTATTTTCGGATTTTGAACAGTACTTTTGATAAAATTTAACTTTACATGAAAAATGGTTAAATTTCAATTACTTCTAAAACTGTGGCTATTTTTCAATTACCACTTGTAAATCTAGCTATTTCTGAATTTCTTACCAAAAATGCTGCAAGAGCCAAGCCGTTGGAGAAATTAATTAATTAGGCTATTAACCTGAAGAGTTACACACCCCAGCTCTGAAGCCTAAATCGAACAATTTCGGGTAGCAGAAAAAGGTTCAAAAGGCTAAAAATAAGTGCGAATTATATTTCAACATCATCGAAAAATAAATATGCATCGCTTTCTTAATATCAGGTATGAAGCTATGTTGACGGCAGCTTCTGTCCGGAGCGTCGAACCAACTCCCATATCTTCACCGTCCCATCATCACTGCCAGAAGCAAGAAGCCTTCTATCCTGCAAGGTTTTGTCAAAAAGGGCATTAACATCTTGCAGGATGTTTCTAACTCGGCTCAGGAAAGATAAAAGGAATGAGCAAATATAAGCAAATCAATCAGAAAACCAAAGCGAAAATACAAGACCAACACTAAGTAATGCAATCAGAAAAATCGAAGCGAAAGAAACAAGTAATAACAGAAATCTAAAAATAAGAAAATACAAGACTTAACACTAAGTATTGCACTAAAGCTACTGGTACGAGCTAGGACAACACTCGTCTACCTAACCCTCTACCTTAATTCTCTATCTCCACATCTTCCTATCCAGAGTAGGAGCATTGTCATGTATTACCTAATCACCTCACTCCGTTACTTCTTCGGCCTACTTCCGCCTCTCCTTAGGCCCTCCAAGACTAACCTCTCACACCTTCTCGCTTGGACATATGTGCCTCTCCTCTTTGCATGCGCGAACCATCTAAGTTTAGCTTCTCGCGTCTTGTCCTCTACGGGGGTCATGCCTACCTTGTCCCCAATAGCTTCATTTCTAACTAGTATGCCTACACATCCATCTCAACATCCTCATTTCAACCACCTTATCTTTTGGACATTGGAGTTCTTGACTGGCCAACATTCAACCCCATACAACACTATCGATCTGACCAGCGCTCTATAGAACGTACCTTTAAGTTTTTGTGGCACATTCTTATCACACAAAACACCTAAAGAAAGCCTCCATTTCATCCACCTCGTAATCTCCCCATTCCCCTGTATAACTGACCCAAGTTACTTGAAACTCTCTCATAGGGATGACTTGTAAATCAAGCCTCACGTCTTCGTCCACTTCCCGAGTCGCACTACTGAACTTGCACCCAAAGTACTCTGTCTTGGTCCTGCTCAACTTGAACCTTTAGACTCTAGAGTTTGCTTCCAAACCTCTAACCTCTCATTAACACCGACTCGCGTCTTGTCCGTCCATAGAAATTTTTGAGAAGAAAAAATTTATCTCCTTGAAAAACCCTACAACGATCATTCCAAGGCCTAATATATTTATTGTCCACAACACGAATTGTCAGCTCTGACGCACATATTTTATTAGACATGGGTCAATGGAAAGTAAACCAAAACTCAGGTCAACAAATATTCATTTCAAGGTCCAAACCTAGATGTTTTTGGTGCGCTCATTGTATGAAAACCAACATCTGTAATGTGCAATACTATACCTGGGCAGCATAACCCAGCGCTCCCTCTAAGAGTTGTGGATTTGAAAGACAAGAGTCAAATGGATATATGTTGTTGGTTTGACATTAAAGTCATCCATCAAAAATAGAACATGATCTTAGTTCAATCTAACATGTCCAAAATTTAGGTGCCACTTGAAGTCCCATCCACAATAAGATTGTACTATATTTGTGGTTGGGTATAACATTAACAATCCAATTGGTATCCCAAAGATAAAGTTCCAAAAGGTATCAAATTCAAATTTTCAAGTTCAAGCAACCAGGAAGCGAGCAGATTACTGCATCATGAAGTGCCAACACAAGATACATTAGAAAGGTCAGACATTTGTTAAACTTCAACATGGTAACTAAACAAGGGATTGAACGGGCAACAGATTATCATCCCTAACACGTTCAAAAAATTTCCAGGTGATCTTGCCTTCTGCTCAAAGCTAAATCATCTTGCAGCAGACAAATACAGAACTAAAGCAACGATAGATGAGCAAGTAAATGTCAATAATCCCATCATTCTGGTATTCCATTGACTTACCCCAGTGTTCCACTGCACAGAATTTACATCCATTTCATGAGCCTTCTCCTTCTTCAGAAGTAGTTTAAATGTAGGTCCATCAACCTGTAACCAGACCCAGCAAACTTTTATTTATTTATTTATTTTGGATCAGACAGACACAAAAAAATTATTTTGCCATAGAGGGGTTGGAAGAGGCGATAATAGAAGATCAACAGTAGTTGTATATGGACAACATCATTCATATGACTTGTTATAATTATATTGTAATTAATGGAGATTGGTTTTTCTAGATCTTTTAGCTGTCTCAAAAGGATTTTCTACTTTACCTGATTAAAAATATTTTCTTTTCCTAACAGTGTATAAAAATTTAAAATAGATATTCAGGTCGAGCGAGATTGGCCAGAAGAACCAAGTCAGAATTCAAGTGTCGTCCTAAGCAGTTATCAGGATCCCTAACTGTAATCTGCTCTGTTTACCATTTTTTTAATATAGCGCTCGAGGTGGGGACAGCTTACCCACTCCTCGACTATATGTAGGATACTATGTCCCGCATGCACGCACAGGCTGTCAGGGTAATCCAGCTCACCAAGGCTGGAGCTGATGGGACCACACCAAGTGTTGTAGATGGGATTCGAAACCCGAAATCTCCATGTTGTTATTCCCACGCCTCAACCACTAGGTTATCCCCTTGGGATCATTGTAATCTGCTCATTAGCTTGACGAACTAGAAAATGTACATCTTTTTAAGTGGTCCTCTAAGCTAATTCTTTTTTATGCTTTTAACGGGTCCACTCGAATCGTAATTATCTCGAGGTAAAAAAACTGAAAGCCCGCCTCTCTCCACAGCGACCCAACCGCTAGAAAAGGAATAAAAAGTAAGTTGCTATCACCAGGGGCGGATTTACCCTGGTTAAAGCGGTGTCATCCGACACCGCTTCGTCGAAATGTTTTATTAAATATATATATAGCAGTAATCTGCTAAAGAAAAAACGTGTACAAGTAAAATAAAATGACACCACTTAGTCAAAGCAAGCTAATTGGTTCACTGGCTAATTCCCTGAAATGTGAGGCAGGGGTCGGGAGTTCGAAGCTCAGCAGCTTCGTTCCTTTCCTTTAAATTTTTGAGCAACAAGTTTCTCCTTTTCCAGAAAAAGCGTACTTTTTATATTAATTAGAGTTAGATGCATTGTAGGATACAATTACTCATCCAATTTGTGTAGGGAAAAAGAGAACTAAACTACTTTTTTGTGTAGGAAAAGGATAATAAACAATATAAAATACATTGGAACTCAATTATTTTAGACCTACTTTTTGGAAAAATAGTCATTGAAATCGCCGAAATTGCTTGCCGTGAGTTGTTCTACTACTTTTAGTTTTTCTCTTTTATTTTTCTAATTGGAATTTCTTCAAACATATATTACTTTTCTTTTTGAGTTGATTTTTGTGCAATTTACATACAGGGTTATCTAATTGATGTTTTGATTTATAATTCAGCTTAAATTCCAATGAAGAGATTTTATTCTGTAGTACCTTCCGAGCCTTCAAAACAAGGATCAACATCTCAAAGTTCATCTAACTTGGAAGAAACGATCGATGAGTCAGAACGTCCACGAAGTGAGAGTTAATTTGGATTCTTTAGAGACTGATCCGGCTAAAAGATTAGCAATTCGAAATTATCATCCAAATGACCGTGATGCAGTAAGAAGAAGATATATTCAACAAGGTCCTTGCCGACCTCGAAATCACAATTTCCCTCAAAGAAATTTTTATGGGCAATTGCGCCGCTTTAATCCTCGATGGTTTGTTGAGTACGATTGGTTGGAGTATAGCATAACAAAAGATGCGGCATATTGTTTCTATTGTTATTTGTTTCAAGATGAATGTATTAATCAAGGGGGAGGAGATGTATTTTCAAGTATAGGGTTTACAAGTTGGAACAAGAAGGATAGATTTGTCGTGCATATTAGTGGACCAAACAACGTTCATAATCAGTCAAGAAGGAATTGTGAAGATTTGATGAGACAAAATCAATCCATTCAAAGTGCACTTGCTAAACAATCTGAACAACAAAAGTTAGAATACCGAACTCGTTTAGAAGCTGCAATTGATGTGATAAGATATCTTTTGAACCAAGGATTATCATTTCGGGGACATCGTGAAGGTGAGTCATCTTTCAATAGAGGAAATTATATTGAACTTCTTACATGGTATGCAAAGCGATGTAAATATATTGATGATGCGTTTAAAAAAGCTCCAAAAAATAACCAATTGACTTCTCCATCTATTCAAAAGGATATTATCGCTGCATGTAAAATGGAAACAATTAAGAGTATCATTAAGGATATAGATGATGATCACTTTTCTATCTTAGTTGATGAATCTCGTGATGTGTCATGTAAGGAGCAAATGGCTATTGTTTTGCGTTACGTTAATAGAAGGGGAAGCGTGATGGAGCGATATATGGGTGTTGTTCATGTTCGTGATGCATTATCTGTAAGGAATGAAATTGTTAGTTTACTTGCTCAACATTCTTTAAGTCCATCTTCTATACGTGGACAATGTTATGATGGAGCAAGCAACATGCAATGTGATTTAAATGGTCTTAAGATCTTAATGCAAAAAGAAAGTAGAGGTGCTCATTCTATTCATTGTTTTGCTCATCAACTTCAATCAACTCTTGTTGCGGTTTCTAAAAGATGCGATGAAGTACAAGAACTTTTATTATTGGTTTCCGATATATTGAATATGGTGGGAGCTTCTTTCAAGCGTAGAGATGAACTTCGTGAATCTCAAGCAGAAAAAATAGAAGAGGCATTACGTAAAGGGGAGCTTGAAATTGGTAAGGGTTTGAATCAAGAATTGGGTCTTGCTAAAGCTGGTGATACTCGATGGGGATCTCACTATAAATCCTTTAATAATTTTATTATTATGTTTGGCCCTATTATTGATGTGCTTGATGTTATTGCTGTTAACGCACGTTTTGAAGAGAAATGTAAGGCAAAGGGATATCTTAAAGCATGTTTAACATTTGAAGTTGTCTTCACGTTGCATTTGATACGTACAGTTTTAGCAATCACAAATGAGCTTAATGCAGCCTTTCAAAAGAAGGAGTAAGATATTGCAAATGCCATGTTACTTGTTGGAGTGGCAAAGGATCAGTTGCAAACATTGAGAAAAGAAGGTTGGAATTCACTTATTGACGAGGTATCTAAAGTCTGTATAAAATATGATATTTTTATACCCAAATTTGATGAGCTTTATGTTATCCCGGGAAGATCACGTCGTAGAATTTCTGAGTACACTGTTTCGCAGCACTATCGTGTTGAGGTATTTTGTAAAATTATTGATTGGCAATTTCAAGAACTCAATAATCGCTTTGGTGAGGTGACAACTAATTTGCTTCTTGGAGTTGCTTGCTTGAACCCAACTGACTCTTTTTCCAATTTTGACATTGAGAAGATATTGAGATTAGCTGAGTTATATCCTGATGATTTTGATAAATATTCTATGGTTGACCTTCGCTTTCAGCTTCAGAATTACATTGTTGATGTCCGAGATCATGATAAAAGGTTTTCTGGTCTTAGGGGACTTGGTAATCTTTCCATAAAACTAGTGGAGACAAAGAAGCATGGGACTTATCCTCTTGTTTTTCGACTAGTGAAATTTGCTTTGCTTTTGCCAGTTGCTACCGCTACAGTTGAGAGAGCTTTTTCGGCAATGAAGTTGATTAAGACCGATTTGCGGAGTCGAATGGATGATGAGTTTTTGAGTAGTTGTTTGGTGCCTTATATAGAAAAGGATGTATTTAGTCTTATTCCTAATTCGGTTATTATGAATACCATCCAAAATATGAAAACTCGGCGAGGAGAGTTGTAGTAAGGTAATTATTTTTTAAATATGATATCGTTACTATATTTGTTTCTTTATCTACTTTAAATGTCGACACCACTTATGAAAAATCCTGCGTACGCCCCTGGCTAGCATTACTTCCTTCCCATGAAACAAAGACCCAAAAAAACTCAAACCGTCAACATTTTAAGAATCTCATTAAGGAACCACATAGTAAAGGGCGAACCAATGACTTTCTTGAAGAACACCCCACCTTCCAGCACCCACAAGAAATTGAGTGAATAGGAGAAAGGTTGGGGGGTACAGAGCAACATAAAATTCACCACTGTACTAGATATCAGGGGCGGATTTATAGGCATATATATAGGGCACGTGAACCCATGGTCTTCCGCTAAACTAGGTATTTTGTGTACATATTTTTTAGAATTGATCTAATATTATCTGCTGGCACTCATGCTTCAAAGAGGCTAAACGGTGCATTTGGACGAATATTATATTATTTATTAAGAGGTGTAGGGTTCAAATCCCACTTAATACTTTTTTTTCTCCTTTCTTTAGTGGTGCACCCATGTTATAAAAATCCTAGATCCGCCTCTGCTAGATATCATGTAAAATGAATTACATTATTATTAAAAGAAATAGGGATATTGATGGTTTTGCAATACCTCGTTTTCGTTATTCTCAACAAATAAACATATAGCGTCATCTGCTGCTCCACTAGCAATTATTCCTTCCCTGACATTTTAGCATATCAAGTACGTTAGCTTGAAAGATGACAGTGTTAGCTTGTAGGATGACAGGGAAAACAGATACAAATATTATCACAGCATGTAAGCCCTGATTACTGAAAAACCTTGAGGCAATTAAGGGAAACTACAACAATACGAGCCCCAACAAAAAAGAGGTCAAACATAAAATCTAGACAGACAGCACAAATTACGAAACTCTTAATCATCGAAAAATAGATTTAGTTAAGCACCCCCAACCCCCAACCCCACCCAACAACCAACAAACACTTTTTTTATAAGAAAAAAAAAAAAGACAAGACAAAATCCGACAAAGAAAAGTAATATTACGGATTGCAAAAGAAAAAGCCTACATTAGCATGAGCATGATAAGAGATAGATATGGAGTAGTTACCTCGACCAGTGAACTGAGAAAATTGTCCTATCATGATATCCAGATAGAGTGCAAACATGTTTCCTGACAAGCACAAAAAGGAAATGGTTGCATATAAAGTGGCAAACATAGTAATTATTGAAAGCTGTTCAAGACATAATTAGGTATGTGTCTTCTCTCTAATAGCTTAAGCATTTCAATGCGATGGTCACACGCTTCAACATAGTATCGAAGCAAGCAGAGGTCCTCTGTTCAAGTCTCATCACCACCATTATAAAAAAATCAACAAAAAAAAAATCCACGTGCTTATCACATGAAAAAGATTTAGGCCCGCATGGGAAGTCACAGGTTGAAGATATAATTAAATAAACAAAAATGTACTCTCTCCAACCGTTTAAGCTTCTAAATGAGATTGGTCACAAACTTCAACAAGAACAATTACATCAAATATAGTTAGTCATAAAGACCACAATTGGCCTGAGAAAAAAAATAAACATACCAGTATTAGTTGACTTATAGCCCGTTTGGCCAAGCTGCAAAAATCAGCTTATTTTGAGAAGTGCTTTTCTCAAAAGTACTTTTAGTGAGAAACAGTTTGTGTTTGGCTAATTAATTTGAAAAGCACTTCTGAGCAGCAATTAGTGTTTGGCCAAGCTTTAAGAAACTGCTTCTAAGTGTATTTTTCTCAAAAGTGCTTCTCAAAAAAGTGTTTTTGGAGAGAAACTACTTTTTTCTGCTTCTCCTCAAAAATACTTTTTTTCCTTCCAAAAGCTTGGTCAAACACCTCAATTTGTACACTTGTGCACTAAATAATGATCAATTTTGAAAACACTTGAAAGTAATTTTACAAAAGGAATTTACTGGAATCTACATGGCTAAGTGGAGGTTGAATCATGTAAACTGACCATGTGTTGCTTAACTACATTGCCAAGGGAGAAACACAAGGATGGCTCATTAAAGCACTCCAATACAGTACCTTATACCAAAGATATCTTTAATTTTTCGTTTAGGATGTAAAAACAAAAACTTGTAAACTACAAACATAAAAATACTAACAAACTAGAGGATGGTAAAAGTCGTGGGACTGTAGATATCATACACGGATTGTTAAACAAGAGCTGTAAAGCTTTAATATCTTGCACACTAGATTATTAGTTCACACAAAGTACAAGTAAACTGTTAGTTCCAAGTCTTCAGTACAGAGAGTTGCCAGAAAGTTCAGTTATACTAACGGTTTCAAACACTCATGCACTAATTACTAACTCCAGACTGTAAAAGTAAGTCCATGAATCAACTATATAGGATATCATGATGCTTAGAAAAGGGACGCTATCATCATGCTTACCAGGCTGGCTCTATATTCCAATCTATCATCCTGTTGTCGTCATCATTCAATATCCATACCTTAATGGTAAGGTCATCACTGCAAGATACAGAATTCAATGTAAACTCTGTTTAAGTAGTGACTGCAACAATTATCCATTTTTTTACACAGCGGAGACTGGAGAGCATATATTTTAAAACAAGTTATGCAGAAAGGAAGAACATACCTGCAAGAAACCAGTTTTAGTCCACTAGCATCGGAAGAGACGGACCAGACAGTAGATGTATGTCCGCTGAAAGTTCAACCAACTAGTGACATAAGCTCCCAAACAATATTAAAAGTTACTAAGCCATATATTTGTACCCTAAAACACTCTCCGGTGAACTGCTTGTTACAGGCCCAGTAGATGTATGTCCGCTGAAAGTTCAACCAACTAGTGACATAAGCTAACAAACAATATTAAAAGTTACCAAGTCATATATCTGTACCCTAAAACACTCTCCGGTGAACTGCTTGTTACAGGCCACATGCATATACCAATGAGGCAGCAGCAACAACAACAACAACCCAATAAAATCCCAGAATTAAGGGGTCCGGGGAGGGTAGTGTGTATGCAGACCTTACCCCTACCCCCATGGAGTAGAGAGGTTGTTTCCGATAGACCTTCGGCTCAAGAAAACAAAAAAGACAAAAGAGACAGTATATGAGTACCATCAACAGAAACCATAGAAATAATAAAGCATTATAAGAAACCAAAAAATAGTTGAAACGCAATACAATAACTAGTAAAGAAAAACGGGAGAATAGTGAGAAAACAACATAGACCACCAGAAATCTAAGACGAACCCTATCAGTCTAACCTCACACCCGGAACGAAGTAGAAAAATGCTCAATTGCCTCCTAACCTACAATCCTAATCTCGATCTCCACACCTTCCTATCAAGGGCCATGTCCTCGGAAATCTGAAGCCACGTCATGTCCTGTTTGATCACTTCTCTTCAATACTTCTTAGGCCAGCCTTTACCTTCTTCTCGTTCCCGCCAAAGCCAACCGCTCACATCTTCTTACCAGGACATTAGGGCTTCTCCTCCGCACATGCCCAAACTATCTGACTCTAAAATAGCAATCCAACATATGACCATTATATGAAGATCCCAAATAGTCATTCAGTAAAAGGTTTGTCGGGAGAAAAGATACATTTACGCGCTATCAAGACATAACAAAATGAACTATATACCACCAAAAGGGAAATAGCCGAGGGACTACAAAACGATTTTTTATCCAATCAACTTAAGTTAGCCATAATTGTTAAATGTACTTCATCCATTTATCAAACACCATTGTTTCCATCATTTCTGAGCAAACTGGTAAGAGCGGCTCAAAAGAAGATATTTCAACTTTTCCGTATCCGTATCCCTGCCCTTAAATAAATAAATATCATGAAATCAAGGATTATTTAGTATGATTGTCACAACTGTCCCTTCCCATGTTTCTTTACATCAAGAAAGAATTCGGCTTGTTGCACATTTTCTTCAATTTGAATTCGGACAGTTGACGCATTTTTCTTCAATTTCTCCTTATGCAAACTCTTAAGGTGAAAAAACAAGGAAAATATCATTTTAACAAACTCAAGAGCTTTGGAAATTTGGCTAAGCAAGTCCACTTGCTCTACTGCATGCAATTATTCATCCATGTTAAGATGCCTGTCCAACTACTACTTCTCCATCTCTTTCCCCAAATATTTAAGTTCATAATGACTCTAATTATGAGGTCTTCTAGATAATGGAGATCTCATATCAATTGCTTTGCAATTACTGAGCAGGATTTCATAAGTTTTTCCATCTGGAACTTTCAACTGTTCAGCATGCATAATATGGTAAGCAGAATATTAACCATAGATCTGAAATTTCGTACAGAATAACAAGCATTTCTCCATCTTACTTAAGTGACCAAAAGGAACATGTTTTCCTTATCACAACAAAAATGAGAACAATATAGCGGATAGAAGCACCGCTACAGACTCTAGACAATACATTAGAGTGAAAAACACAGTTTAAGGATCACTCAATCTAGCTACACTACAAACCTTTTGACCCTAATTGGAGTAGGTTCGACATGAAACAGGTCAGTTCTTTTTTCCTGACTGACAAAAACAGTTTAGTTCTTTGTTTGAACTTAGAACTGCGTTGAAATCACATGGCCTTATGGGATTTGCTACAAACAGTCATCACCTACCTTGTTCTGAAAGCTGCTTAGATCCTTTAGAGCTATAACATAAAGTGCACTGCTAGCAGGTATTCAATGGAGACCTCTTGTTTCATCTTTGTTTTCAATAAAAGAAAAAGATTATATGCTAAAGAAAGTTAGAGGTCATTCCGTGAATCGTACTCAGGAACTCTTGCAGCCAAAACAAGAAACATTCCTCGCATCCAAAGTTAGAATCATACCTCTCCACCCTTGCACAATCTCGCTGAGCGTGTGTATGCCACTATTCCACAATTCTCACTTTTACGAAGTTATACATAGTTTTCATAACCTCTAATGTGCAAACTTTAAATCCTTTGGCCTAATTTTCAATCTGTTAAGAGTTTCTCATGTGTACGCATTCATCAATTGAAGCCTAAAAGAATAAATGAGTCAACAACATATTGCTAGGATTTATTATCATAAATTTAAAAATCTAGCATATACGGGAGCTCATCCATACTGCTGCCACCTTTACTCTTTCTTGGTCAACGGAAATCTTTCTTGAAACAACTTCTGTTTGTAGTCTAAAAACTTCACTTTCGAATAGCACCTCTCTCTTCTGTCAATTTCTAAAACATTTAAAACCTACGGAAAAGGGCCAAAACTACCCCTAGACTATTGGAGTTGGTACAACAATACCCTCCGTCCACCTATTTTGCAAAAATTACCTTCACTGTTATCTTTTCGGCTCAAGACTGCCCTTACGACTAACAGCCCTGTTAGGTAAAAAAAAAAAAAAAAANCCTTGTACTCTATTTGAATAATCACTACAAACACCATTAAAGTTTTATTTTCAAACAAGCAAAATTTTTAGTCACCAATACTTTACGTCATACAACTTTCACCCGAATATATGAACACTAACAGAGTGTCAATGGTAATGGTCATTGAACATTTGCAATATTTTTCGTTGTATATTTCCTGACAACTCCGTATCCAGTTTCGATTATACAGTTTTATTTGGTCTTTGCTCGAACCTCGACTTTTTTCTTCAACATTAGCTCACCATAGTCTGAACATCCGATCATGTCCATAAAATTAAGCTATTGTACGAGGATGCTCTTCAAGTTATATCTACACCGCTAATTTTAAAAAAGGGACGGTTAAATCAAGAGGAATATTTGGATCCTATGCCTTAGAATATGAGAGAATACGACTTATTGGAGAATGTGACTGTAATAAATACTTGATTGAGCTAATTGTATGAAGCAGTGAAGTGTAGTAAGAAAAATTGATATGAATGGTATTTCTATGATGGAAAAAATAGGAGTATTGATGTGTACATTTAATAGAGAAAGAAATAGGAAGAGGAAGGTGATTAACTATAAGAGAGATTTTTGTTTGCTTAGGAAAAAAATGGGCGTATGAGAATTCTAGATGTTGGAATATTTTTGAAAAGAAAGAGGAGAAAGAAACAAAAGAGGGAAAGGAAGAAGGATAGACTAGGAAAAGGTATTTTTGTTTATGGGTCTTAGAATGTGGGTGGTTTATTTTAATTTAGGTGAGTTTTAAGTTAAGCCAATTGCACTATGACACGTGGAAATTAATTAAAATTTTTTTACCTAACAGGGTTGTTAGTCGTAAGGGCAGTCTTGAGCCAAAAAGATAACGATGAGGGTATTTTTTGCAAAATAGGTGGACGAAGGGTATTATTGTACCAACTCCAATAGTCCAGGGGCGGTTTTGACGCTTTTCCGTAAAACCTATGATCTCACATATTCCGCGATGAACATTAGAAACTTCTCATTCTCAAAGCTTGTGAAAATTTGAACCCAATTCTTGCATGGAAGGCCAATTCGGACAGACGAAGCATTTATAACCTAAATTGTGCAAGCTACATGCTATGAATAGGAACAGACACCTCACTTCAATAAAATACGGTATTCTACATAAATGAAAAGAGCTTAAAATGCAGTAAGAATATAATCACTACCCTGATGGCATCGTTCAAGTATTCATTTTTTCCTCGTCTAATAAACATAATAAATTTAAGATTGATTCTTTTTTTAATAATGGTCCTCTTCGAGCTAGCTTGTGCACCACTCTACTAACCACCGAGTACCTGACATCAGTGACGTATGCAGGAATTTTTTGTAAGCGGTGGCACATTTAAAGAAGTAAGCAAATGATCTTTTCAAAACCGCGACGTAATTTAACATTTAAATTTCTTTGAGGAAAATTGCGGATTCAAGTTTGAAAATGATCCTTTTGAAGATATGCGCTTCTTATTGCACCATGGTCATTTAGGAATTTAAATCAACTCTTTCATTTTGCGATGTTCCGACTCATTGGCTTGGAAGGTGTTTTGGTAGAATCTCTATTAAATTTAAGCAGATTACAAATTAAAATGTCCATTTGAGAACTCCTAAATAGTACTATATAGTTCTATTCATAAAGTAAAAACAACTTTAAAAATTTCTAACTACTAAAAAGTACAAGAAAGAACGAAGGAAAAGTAGCAAATCACTTACTACAATGGAAGAAGCAGTTGCAAACTGAAGAGGAGGATGGATTGGTTAGCAACTTGTGTTAGAAGGTTTATAACTTCATTTACCTTACGGAAGTGGATGTGCCATAATCTTCTAAATAAATGAGGGTATAATAAAAAAAGATTTCGGTACGATCGATCCCTCAACCTAGCCAAAATAGTTCAGGCGCCTGACCAACTAACCAAGGCAAGTTTAACATTAAGCAGAATCACTTGTTTATTAATTTTGTATGTATGCCATTTTCCAGATTACTTTTATTGATATATTAGTAAAATAATTCGACGAAGCAATACCACGTGACATTGCTTGGGCCTTGGTGCATCCGCTCTTGCATGACACCTCCCACCAATACAAGTACCAGATGCAAATAGGGGTGTACATTCGATTTATCGATTCGATTTTGACCTTTATCGATAATTACTTATCGATTATCAATTTGTACATATGCTTATCGTTATCGTTTTAATAAGGTTTCGATTTTTTCGATTTCGATTTATCGATTTTTGGGGCTTATCGATTCGGTTATCGATTATACCAATAAGAAAATTTACGGGATTCCACGGAAAGTATATCGCTACAAACACACCTAACTAATATGGACAAAAGGAAGCTAAAATAAGAAGAGCACCGTTTATAACATAAAAATTGTGTCGACAAGCACATGCAACGAAACTAAAGTAAAGGATCAAATGTATGCCACCAACACTCCAACGGTATAAAAAAAACAAAAAATCAAAATATATCATCACGGCTAATTCTATTTTCCATTAATTTGAACTTCATTCCCTTGAGCTTTAAATACGATCATTCCTTAAATGTGGTAGAGAAAACAATAGGGTTAGGGACTTAGGGTAAAGGAAAGGGTATTATAGAATAAGGGTAAAAAAAAATTAAAAAAAAATTACTGTAGCTTATCGGTTTATCGATAAACCGATAATCGAAGAGAACAAAATCGAAATCAAAATTGATAAATCGATAAGGAAAATTTTGAAATCGAAATCGATAAATCGATAAACCGATAACAGATAATCGATTCGATTTATCGATAAACCGATTCAAATGCACACCCCTAGATGCAAATCTAGCAGCCAAGGCTTATGCGGAATGGAAGAAAACAACTATTATGCCACACCATTGGATGCAATAAATTTATGATTTTGTTATGCCCAATAACGAATCTTACCTATTAGATTCACCCAAAGTTTGAATACAATGCCAATCATCACCGCGATTCTCTATCCATACCTGCATTTCAAGCACCGCTAAATATTAGATATTGTTACTTATAAATGGAAGTAGGGGCAGATGCACCTTTAATGAAGCAGGGGCACGCGACACCGCTTAGTTGAAAATTTTTATTAAGTATATGTATCAATACAATGAGGAACAGATAAGTAGGAGAAAATGACACCATTTGACAAAACTTCTCTCTTGGTGCGCTGATTGTGTGTTTGATTTTGTTCTAAGAGGTCAATGTTCAAACCTCAACTAACACATTTTTTGTAAATATTTGAGAGAGTCTTTATGGATAAAAATTGTGATGAAGTAGAATTGAACTTGGGACCTTTTATAACTAAAAAATCAACAAAACCAATAGACTAAGGCTATTTCTAATTTAGAAATATGATAATTAAAGTTTTTATCTCGTTCTTTTATAAATTTCGACACTGCTTATAAAAATTACTGTACACGCCCGTAATGGAAGAGAAACAACCACTAGTATGCCTTATATGTAACAGGGGTATGAAAAACATTCTAGAATCTCTCTAAACAAAGAACAAAGAGATAGAGAGAGAAAGGAGGGACGCTAAGTTCAACTCAAATATACCTTAATGGTGTTATCATAACTACATGATAACAACATATCCATGTTAGGAGTCCATTTAACCATCTTAACATCTTGTGTGTGCCCTTGTAACACTGAAACACAGTCAAATTCATTTCCAGGCAACACTTCCCATATCCAAACCGACTTATCTCGTCCACACGTCGCGAGTAGTGAGTCGTCACTATTCCAAGAAACACTTTTCACTTCATTGTCATGACCCTGGACATTACCCGCATAAGAAAAAGAAGGCAGACAGAAGTTTAGTAGATTTATATTAAAGAAAATAAAAAGGCCAAGTACAAAAGATTGATGTAAATTACGATCACAAAGCAATATAAGCTAAATTAAATGATTCCACTTAGCACAGCTGCCCGGGAAACAAATTCCCTTATTTTACTGACAGATTTATGAAGCTTTTGTTGTGCTATGCACAGATATAAACAGACAGAAGATGCAACTTTTGCCTACTTTAACACTAGTTTTTGTCAGAGCTGGGGTAATGAATATGAACTGAAATTAATATGATAGAGAGATACCAAAAGGTAATTGTACCTCCAAAGTGGAAACACACTCAAAGTCAACCCCAACATTTTCCCAAATAGCAGTGGTGGCATCAAAGCTAGCTGTTGCCAAATGTTTGCCTGACGGTGACCATTCACATGATCTAACAGTCCGTGTATGTGTTTCCTCCAAAACAGCCTGCAAAATTTCCTCCAAATAGTCATTATAGCTCCCTTTTCTTTTTTTTTACTTTTACTAGAATAGTCATTATAGCTAGAGGATGAAGGTCACTTTATTTTCTTCAGGATGGAAAGAGTGCTAGAGAAGGATGAAAGAAGGAAAACAATAAAAAAGGTACACATTGTTTTTTGGCTGCATAACCCCATGTATGATTTCCAAAAATTTAATTAACTATCAGAAGTAAATAATAAACTCCGCCTATGTGATCTTGCTCACATTGTCAGTCCAAGACCGAATAAAAGAGGGTTGCAGTAGGCTACAACCAGCATAAAACTAGCCAATTCCATGATCAATCCTCACACTACAGTTTAAATGGAGTAAAGTGGGTTAGTGAGGATTCATATGGCCGACCCCCACTTGTTTGAGATTGCGGTATAGCTGTTGTATCAAAAGTAATAATAACTCTTAAAAAGAGAAACTAACCAGATCTCAAAATCAACAGGCTAAGGCAGTATCCAACAGAACAGATTTGAAGCTAATGCTCTCAAAAGTAACTCTGTAGTCAATATAGTTCCATCCAGAGGCGGACTCACGATGACATTCAATATAAATTCATCACTGCTCGTAAAGATTGGTAAGGGGCCTATGCTAATATCTTACTATCTTGAAGACATTTACAAGTATACATACAGTTTTTGTGGAAGTTTCCGGATGCACGTGACCCCTCTACGTATAATGTGTGTCCGCCTCTGGTTCCAGCGCATTGACTTCTTCCCGTGTAAATAATTAATTTGCAACAATTCATAATTTTCTTTTTCTTAGACAGAGCTGATACTTTGGATTCTAATTGCAACTCTTTAATGTATCCAGCTGATCATAGTGCAGATTGTCCAATACTTCTTTTAATTTTTTTTCACTTTGATAAAGTAATAGTTTTTCGAGGAATATCAATCAGAAAATGCTATTTTATGATGAAAACAAAAAAAATCAAACCTGACAGTGGAAAGAGCCGGTGGAGTCCTGTTCCCAGATTCGAACGGTTTTATCGCCGGTGCAGGACGCGAGTACAGCTGGAACACCATTGATTCCGGTATGTGGTTTCCAAGCGACGGTCCAAACCCTATCGGTGTGGCCTTCCAGCCTCTGAATCTCCTTCAGTTCAAAATCATCGTCAACGAAATTCATAGTAAGAACGGCGGAGCTGTGGTCGCGATGCGGTGTGCTGCAAAAGTAGGTGGCGGAATGAGAGGTGGGATAGTTATTAAAGCGTGTGTGCGCGCGTGTACAGTAACTAATGGAGTCTAAATAATTAAAAGAAATTAAACTTTTTCATATTATCTATTAAAAAATTAGTTACATAATGAATTTGTTAGTAACAAGTCAAATATAAATAAAAATTATATTATATGAATGGGTTTAATTTTTTTATTTATAAAGTCTCAAATTAAGTGTTTTTCAAGTTTAGGAGACTAACAATTCTCCTAAAAGTGAACATATTCAAGAAGTTATAGATAATATGGATATTCATATTATCTGTCTAATATGGATTTTCATATTATCCGTCGGTTAGCCTGTTTTATTCATATTAAATATGGGTTAGGTCAGATAATTTATCCGTTTTCGACCCGCCTATATCCTACCCGACTCACTCATTTGCCACCCCTATATATGGATAGCAAATATATTTATATGCTTCGGGCTAGGAGAGTTTTCCTTTTCCATATTTGTTATGACTAGTTTCCCATATTTGTTAGGAGTAAGGTTTACTACTTGACTTGTATATCTATATTCTTGTAAATCAATTAAAGAAGGCAAGCCTTTCTCTTTCACACTTGGACATCGTATGCTTGCGTATTTTGCATGGTATTAGAGCCAAAGTCGGGCCAAACCATAAGAAACTCGGAGTGACATACTAATGGCAAGGAACAATAGTAAAGATGTCTCTGCTACCGGCGAAAGCGGTGGTGGTGATGAAACAAATAATTGAAAGAGCATATCTCCGTATGATATAACATCTAATGACAATTCTGGAATTTTGATAACACATGTGGCTCTAACGGGAGAAAACTATGATGAATGGGCAAGGTCCACGAGGACAGCCTTGAGGGCGAGGAAGAAGTTCGAATTTATTAACGGAATAATCAAGAGACCATATGAGAAGTCTCCCGATCTTAAAGATTGGTGGACCATCAACTCGTTGTTGGTTTCTTGGATTCGGAATGCTATTGAGCCTCCTTTGCATTAGTCTATACCACACATAAAAGTTGCTAAAGATTTACGGACTAGTATTGAAGAACGTTTTTTGGTCTCCAATGTTCTAAGAATAAAGCAGTTGAAGGCCGAACTTGTGGAGTGCAAACAAAAGGGTATAACCATAGTAAAGTACTATAAAAATTTAACAAAACTCTGGGAAGAGCTTGCTAATATTGATCAAATGTCGACTTGCACATATGGTAAGTGCACATGCGATCTTGGTGTAATCTTGGAAAAGAAATGGAAGAGGAGAAAGTGCACCTTTTTCTTATGGGATTAGATGAAACACTGTATGGAATAGTGAGGTCAAACTTATTCGCTCAAGATCTGTTGCCAACTTTGAATCGAGTTTACTCGAAGTTGGTACAAGACGAACGTGCGAAGATTATGGCTCAAGGGATAGATGAAGATGGAGACATTATGGCCTTTGCCGTTCAAGGGACATCCCCCTATAATGGTCGGAATAAAGTGAAGGACAAAATTACGTGCTACTGCAATCGAATTGGACATGATTCAAAAATTGCTTCCAGCTTGTTGGGTATCCAAAATGATGGGGAGAGAGACCATGTGGTAATAGTACACCATATGGACGCGATAGAGGACAACAACAATATTAGAGGGGTGAATGAATAGAGGCCTAGGATGTGGCGATGCATATTGCGCGAATTTTGCACATGCTACGGGAGGTGGCGTCTCCGCAACTGTGATAAGGGGAGAAAAGGATGGGCCTTCGGGGTTGAGCAATGAGCAGTGGAAAACGTTGATTGCTATGTTGAATAATCAACATATAAATTATGAGTAGATGATCGGTAAGCAAAATTATTTATGTTGGATCATCGACACAGGAGAGACGAATCATATGACAAGATGTTTAAAATTATTGTATAATGTGCAAAACATTGAGAAGTGTCTCGTTAGTCTGCCTAATGGGAGTAATGATGTAGCGACCAACAACGATTTAAGAAAATTTTGTTCTAGAAAAAGTTTTTTATGTGCCCGGCTTAACATGCAACTTGATTTATGTATCTCAATCAATCAATTACTCAGATTTTGGTCCTTTTAACTAAACTTTTACGTATCATATAGGCACCTTGAGGATGTTGATTTGAGTGAGTGAACGGAAAGATGGGCTATACTATTTATGGAACAAATAGAGTGTATGTTCTATAAAGGTTGGTGGTGTGGACTTGATGGATCTTTGCCACATGCATTTGAATCATCCCCCTCTACAAGTAACCAAATTAATTCCTATTGTAAATTTTGGAAAAGAATAGTGATATTATGAATAAAAGTTGTGATGTTTGCCATTAGACTAAACAAACAAAAGATAAATTTTCTTTGAGTAATAATAGAGCTTCTAGCATTTTTGAGTTGATTCATTATGATTTGTGGGGATCTTATCGAACAACTTCGTCTTGTGGTCATTATATTTTTGACTATTGTAGATGATTACTCGCGTGTTGTGTGAATATTTTTATTGATTGATAAGAAAGAAGTACTACAAATTGTGAAGAATTTCTTTACTATGATAGACAGACAATTTAGTAAGCGAGTTAAGACTTTCAGGAGCGATAATGGAATGGAGTTTACATGTATGAGAAAATATTTTATTGAATGTGGAATTATCTTTCAAACTTCGGGTATAAGAATACCCCAATGAAATGGGAGAGTGGAAAGAAAGCATATTTATAGCTTGAATAAGGTAACGTGCCGATTGATTTTTTGTAATGATCCGGCCAGTCGTTTTAAGAATTAATGACCCAATCCCCTATCAACTGGTTTTTCCGTATTTGTTTATGCTATTTTGATTCGCCGGGATGTTTGGTTTTGAGTTTCAGAATGTTTTGGGACACTTAGTTCCTAAATGAGAGCTTAAGCTTTAGAATTTGGACCGTAGTCGAAGCAGTATAAAGACGATCTTGGATTGGAATTCTGGCGGTTCCGTTAGCTCCATTGGGTGATTTCGGGCTTCGGGGCGTGTTCGGATTGTGTTTTGGAGGTCCGTCACTTATTTAAGCTTGAAATGCCGAAAGTTGAATTTTTGAAGTTTCTGGTTCGATAGTGAGATTTTGATCTAAGGGTCGGAATGAAATTTCGGAAGTTGGAGTAGCTCCGTAGTGTTGAATGTGACGTGTGTGCAAAATTTCAGGTCATTAGGACGAGGTTTGATAGACTATTTGATCGAAAGCGTAATTTGAGAGTTTTTAGAGTTCTTAGGCTTGAATCCGATGTTAAATTGGTGTTTTGATGTTCTTTTGAGCATTCCGAAGATTAGAACAAGTTTGAATGATGTTTTAGGATTGTTTGGCATGTTTGGTCGAGGTCACGGGGGCCTCGGGTGTGTTTCGGATGCTCAACGGGTCATTTTTGGAACTTAGAAATTGCAAAAATGTTGCAACAGTCAGTTCTGATTTTCTTTTTCGCGAGTAAGGTCTCGCGTTTGCGAAGAGGAGCTGGGGCTGGTGAGGAATTAGCGCTTCGCGTTCGCGAAGGAGCTCCCGCGTTCGCGAGGCTGTGGGACCTTGTGCCTATGCATTCGCGAAGGCAGTCTCGCGTTCACATAGGAGAAGAGAAATGATCATCGCTTTCACGAAAAAGGAGACTATCCCGTGGAACACCGTTGTCTCGCATTTGCGAAAAAGAACGCGTCTGGGCAGAATGTTAAGTTCAAAATCGAAGGTTTAGCCATTTTTGTGAAAACTAGAGCTTGGGAGCTCGGATTTGAGCGAGGTTTTGAGGGATTTTTACAGATATCGATTTGGTGACGATTCTTAACTCTTTTTTTCTTGTAACCCCTTAATCTAAACATGAATTCATCATTTAATTACGGAATTTGTATGAAAATTGGGGGAAGTTCTTAGACCAAAAATTCGAGTTTTGATTGGGGATTTGACATTCGATTTGGATAATTTTGGTATGGTTAGACTCGTGAGAATATGAGAATTCTGAAAATATAAATTTTACCCGATTCTAAGACGTGGACCCGGAGGGCATTTTGGTAATTTTACCTAATTTCGCGTATTAGCTTAGAATTTATTTGTGGAATCAGTTACTTGAAGTTATATTTACATTAAGCAATTGAATTGAGTAGATTTGGACCATTTGGAGTCGAGTACTCGTGGCAAGAACGTGGTTTCGGATTGATTTTGAGCCGGTTCGAGGTAAATGACTTGCCTAACCTTGTGGGGGGAAACTCCCCGTAGGATTTGATATTATTAATATTTGAAATGCCTTGTAAGTGAGGTAACAAGTGCGTGCTTATGCTAATTGTTGAAAATTCGATTTTCTTTAAGTAATTTTAATTGTGTTTCTTTTTCATGTTTATACTACTTGCAATTTAAGCCTGTTGTTAGCTTAGGGAAGCATGTCTAATTGACTTAATTGCTTTACTTGCTCAAATTGCCTTAATTGGATTATGTGCAACATGCTAGGCTAGAAGTACCTGTTTTACCTTAGTATGAAATTTGTATTGAATTGTGTATTTCTTCGTGTTGTTGCTGTGTGTTTACTTTGAGACTACAGGATGGTATCCGGTAGATTCCCTGTATATTTACTTTGGGACTACGGATTTGTATTCCAGTAGATCCCCTTGCACATTTACTTTGGAACTACGAAAATGCACCCGATAGATTCCCCATGTACTCGATATTTACATTTGGAACTACGGATCAGATTTTCGGTAGATCCCCGCGCATTATGAGTTGGACTATGGAACTGCACCCGGGAGGTCCACTGGATATTTATATTTGGGAACTACAGGACGGTATCCTGGGAGATCCCCGGTTGTTATCTCTATGTTGATCTGTACTCTTTCCATGATTATTTTGTCTCTGTTATAGTTGTTGCTCTTCTTTTAATTCTATGTTATTTCTTAATGTTGTGCTTAATTATACTGTCTTATTCTACACTATTATACCTTATATTTCATTTAACCTCAGTAGGGCCCTGACCTTCCTCGTCACTACCTGACCGAGGTTAGGCTTGGCACTTACTGAGTACC